TTGTTCATAATTCAGACTTCTTTTTCATATTTTCTGAAGTATTTAACATTGCATTCACGACAGTCATGTAGAATTGACCCTCTCCTCATTTCTCATCCTGTTATCAGTGAAATACAGATCACCTTGACCATGTGGACCAAGCCATCACATTAGATCTAGTTATCAAGTGCAATACTTACCAGAATTTTGAATTTTTTAATTCCATATTTGAGAACTTGTACTGACAATTGCTGATCTGGTTTTGAATATCGGCCTCTAGGAGGTCTTGATAAATTCCTGGTTATTGCTTCTTATAAGAATAAATGTTGTTTTAAGCCACATATTCCAGCTATCTTACGGTGACAGTAAAAACATGTAGTAGCAGACTTAGAGGCAACAAATGGAATCGGGATCGTCTAGTTCAGACTCAATTCACAGATCACTGTCATGTAGCTGGAATATTGCAGAGAGTAGCAGCATACAACAAACACTAACAAAACTAAACAAGTCATTTGACAAATCCCCCATTTTCCACAATAGCAAAAGGCACTACGTTGGCCCTAGTCAATACATGCATCAAGTTTGGATGGAAAATCGTCCACGGTTTTCAAGCTATGCTCTAGAAACGAAATACGGAGGGACAGACAGACCAGGGCCCACTTGCACTAAGCGATCTTAGCACTACGACTATTGTAAGCCTATGTTAAAGTATGGGTGTTACGATCATCTTAGCGCTAAGGTTGCTTTGTGCAAATGGGCCCAGATGACATTTCTACCCCCCCACACATAATATGCTGGAGGATAAAAAACATGCAGGTTGTCTGGTTACAATGACATATTCATCCAGGCCATTTAGACAACTGATCAATTTATCTGGATCCTACAATATTTCTGATGCAAAACTTTAAAATGTGCCCACCAGCAAGAACTTTGGCATCCTGTTCACAGAATAGTACTATTGGTAGTACATGTATTAGCAGTATGAGCCAAACTTGTCATATCTAGGAAACTCAACTCATTGCATTCTTTGCATCTTATGGGGAAAATAAATAGTTGAGTTTACTCGGCCTTGAGACATGTAAGTAAACCCTTCCAGCATTCATATAGGAGCAGGGATAATTCTAGGGTGGGGCTTTTAGCACCTAAATTTGAAAAAAGACCCACATTTTCATATACAATGGGGGATTTTAACATTGTGGGGTACCTCTGGAATATTTGAAATTTTCACATTAAGGGCCCAAGTCAGAAAATTACTAGATGGAACCCTGTAGGAGCCCTTTTTAGCTGAGCTCACTGCATGTAAAGCATTTTACTTGACACTTCAGACTAGTGACTGATAATCAGATGTTATTCAATAACCGTTATTCACAACAGCACATTAATATGCATCCTCTTCCTGGTCATCCTTTACACTGATGTCTTCCTGATAGCCAGCTATGATTAATAGCTTGTAGATAGTGCTATAAGCAACTGTCAATCACACGCGTCTCCACCCTGGAGCTACAGACAGTCAACAGGTGACACGAGGGTGACGAGGCTACTCATCCGTGTCTCATCGCAGTGCCCCTCCCACGACACGACCCCCAGACACCCTCCCCCCACTAACATCCAGACATCCGGTGGAATTGGTCCAAGTATTCTTGTCACACAGGATGACTTAATGGATCAGACCCGTGAAGATTCCGGGGTAGAATAGGTCGTCAGCAACCCATACTTGCCGTAAAAGGTGACTATGCTTGTCGTAAAAGGCGACTAACAGGATCGGGTGGTCAGGCTAGCTCACTTGGTTGATGCATGTCATCAATCCCAGTTGCATGGATCGATGCTCATGATATCAATCACTGGATTGTGTGGTCCAGACTCGATTATTTACAGACGCCGTAATATAGCTGGAATATTGCTGAGTGCGGCGTTAAACAACAAACCAACCAACCAACCAATGGATCAGGTGGTCAGGTTTAGTGACTTGGTTGAATCTGTGTATTACCCCAGCAGCGAGATTGGTTGCTTGTAATATCAATCACTGGATCGTCTTGTCCCAGGCTATGTGATGCAGAAATGTGTGTTCATTACACACAAATATATCGAATGGACGCAAAAAAAAATACTGAGCCCTGAGCGATGCACAATATTTATCATTGTACCAAATCCTTGACAAGAAATACAGAGTTTTGGTAATTAAAGCAATTATTAAATCTAATAGTACAGTACACTACACCATTTCATTACTGTACTTTAGTTAAAATCCTTTAAATTAGTAATTTGGGCCCTCTGGGTCCCGTTCCACAAACACAATCGTAGCGGTAAGACAATCGTAACTCCCTAACTTCAACACAGACTTACGACAGTCTTAGCGCTAAGATCGCATTGTGGAACGGGGCCCTGGACCCCTAGTTTGCAGTTCAAGGTAAACCCTGTGGTCCATTTTTAACAGGCTGCTGTCCTATATAGCTGAAATATTGTGTAGTTAGAAATGTGTATAGTCTTACACAAGAGTCTGATTCAGCAAAGTTCCACTGGCATGTAAACAGTCGTATGGACACCAGCATCAGAAGGCCAACCAATGGCCGATAGCATGAGCAATGACTCACACAATCATATCAATGTATGGCACAATCAGCTACGTCATACTATGCATGGCTTACCACCTCTATAAAATGTATACAATGTCTAGTAAAGAATAGATTGATCCAGCATCATTGCCAAATCTGAACAACCTACACTAGTGTCCTCGTGCTTGAACTATAACAGTTCAGGGCAAAACTATATTATATTACAGTAACACATGGGGTAAAGAAAACTTTATTTGAATTTCTTAAGTAACATGTAGTATCTACTAGCATTACAGTGAGTGAGTGAGTATGGTTTTACGCTGCTTTTAGCAATATTCCAGCAATATCACGGCGGAGGACACCAGAAATGGGCTTCACACATTGTACCCATGTCGGGAATCGAACCCGGGTCTTCAGCGTGACGAGCGAACGCTTTAACCACTAGGCTACCCGACCGCCCCTTACTAGCATTACAAGCCAAGCTTGGATACCACTGGCCCAACATGCCTAAAGAATTGTCAGATTGACTATGAAATTGGCATTAGAGTATTTATAATGATTAGGTACTGTTGAGAGATTTCAAAAGATACAGTCAAAGTTGTGTTAAACTCCGCTTTGAACTTTATTTCAGATATATCACGTGTTCAGCTTAATGTGGGAGAAAAAACGGAAATGATGCATGTTTCAGACATTTACCACTTGGTTATACCCACGAGCACAGGTACGGTGCTGACAAACAGCAAACAGAAATTAGACAATTCAGGATTCAAATCCATAAGTCATAGGTTTCTGGCATGTCCAAGGGATGCAACTCCGCACAGCAAACTGCTGGCCTGTAGTGGAGGTGGCATGATCTAATTTCACTTGCTATTTATAACCATGACAGGCATCATCTAGTGAACATTAACACTATGGGTGATGGGGACTTATCCTATCAGGGAAGAATCTCCATCAACATGATCTTACTATCAAACTCATAACGGTAGAAACTTGCCTACACTGACAGTATATAATAATACTGTTACTTCATACAACTGCTCTCCTCCCATGGGTTAGGGAGGGGACACAGGTCTGCTATCTCAGGGTTAGAAATTGCATGGTAAGGCATGATAATTTGCGTGTCAATGCTTCATTAATTGTGATAGCAAGGTAAATTAATTGCTAAGGCTTACACAAAGAAGTACAGCATCCATTGCATTGTAGAGCAGCGTTAAAAATTGGCACTAGTCCTGTAGTCCTTGCCAAACTGCCCAATAGTTAAGGTATCCTAAGGACTAGTAGAAATTTGCCATTTTGAAGGGTTTTGCTATATGTTATCATTATAAGGACTAGTGGGCTAAATTTGTTAGTTTCTACCCCTGTAGAGTAAGGAAGTTTGGGTTGAGGAATAATTACGTTCTGGGTCAGACAGCTTACCAACAATTGAAGGGCGATACTTGGGCATACTTAAAATGCATTAAATTCTATCAAACTTATTATTTCTGATATACTATGAAAGTACGCCTGAAAGAACACACAAAATGGCATTTTCAGTTTAAGTCAAAACAGCCTCTCCTGTGTAAACCTGTCCAAGTTATTATGTAATATCTATATCTATATTACCTACACTGGGTGCAATCCTGATATGGTTCCTTCAGACAAATAATTTTTTGTTTTTCTTCCCGACCCTACTTTACTAGAGGGGGGGGAAAGAAGGCATTATGTTTATCCAGAGGTAAATTATGCAGTATTTCATTAACACATATCTAGAAATCTAGAAACGTTATATATTTACATTAAAACCTATATCTGATCTCCTTTAACCAGGGCATGAATGTATGGTATCCTAGGAAAATCGAGGAAAAAACTATGCCCGTTATTTGCATATCAGCGAAAGCAAAGACGTAGGCCTACATCGTTAGCGGAAGCAAAATCCACTGTTGTGACACATTGTTTACATTGTGATTCAAGCACGTCACACTATCAATAACTTAATCATGCACACAAAGATTATTAACAAAGCAGGATACATGGATACACTTCACGCCTACATGGTCGCGCCTTCAAAAGAGGAAGTAGGCTGGTAAATCTGGCATCCAACTTGAGTCAAATGTCAAAAGATGAAATCTTATCTCTCGAGGTACAGATTTGAGAGATGCGTTTGACCTATTAATAACGTGTTTACAGCCAATCGTCTTTACTGTTATGATCAAGAAGTCGAAGCGTTGGACTTAATAACCGTGAAAACTACGATTTCAACAAAAGCGCTAATCGGTCTAGCCCTGCTTGTAAATTGCCCATACTTGGCGATACCAGCATCAAGCTTGTCAAGGGAAGCAATCCTTCCCCCCACCTGCATATTTCAACAACGCTAGCGTCCATTGTACACATGCACACGTATCTTAAATATTCTGGGCACGACGGGACATCTTGTAAGAATTTACTCACAGTATGATCAATACTCAATAATGAATGATTAATGAATCTTACCCGATGTTTTTCTCGTAACCGGCCAAACTTTGGCACACCCTCGCTCGGGCAATATGGCGGATCTTATGACGTCACGACCGGAAATGCTTCAAGCTGGTATCAACTTCTCCACATGCAGGGCCCAGCGGGAAGACACTCCTAAATATCTCGGATATGTACCGCTCAGCACAAGAATTTCATATCATAAGTCAAATAAACAGCTTTAAAATACCGTTTACTCACACCGAGTAATTATATGTATCAATATTTACAAACACAGACAACGTTTCAGCAGAGACCATAAAATAAACGTTTCAGGTAGAAAATTCTTTGAACAATTAAGTGTATTTTTGACTATTTTTACAAATGAATTTATATATTTAAAGTAAAAAGATACTGTTTTGAAAACAGTTATGATGCCAATGTGACTTATAAGCATTACCTTTCAATATTGAAACTGGGAGAAAATAAAAGCTTTTTTAATTAGGGTTTTTATATAAGTGTATCTTTTGAATTCGCGGTGCGAACAATGCCTATATTGTTATTAATTCAAAATAACCACACAAGACTTATATAAGAAAGTTGTATTTTTTTACCTGATATCGTTTAAATATATTGCCTAATTCTGTCTGCATTTAATACAATTGAAAATAGGTTATTGAATTCAAACACCATTTTTTTAAAGGTAAAGTACATAGATCGATATGAATACAAACCATTCAGAAGACACACAACTTTTATTTATTTATTTTCAAAATCCTATATATGCCTTAATGTTGTATCCATCTGTATGTTTGACAGTACACTTGCGTAAAGATTAGCCAGTGCAACATATTTCAGTGTTCTGTCCGTGGTGTGAACGGGTGCTCGGCTATTGGGTGTACCTGTCATCTGTGTCCACATCGATGTCAGACAAGCACACGTGCTGCAGTTGTAAACTTCAATAAACTGGAAATTGACTTTTGAAGCGCAGTCAAATACAGGTTGAATGAAACCAGATACAATGCGTAGCCAGACTGGGACATGCGATGTTGTTGACAGATCGTGCAACCGTGTCAAGGTAGCTTGTGGCGTGTGACAACCACTGACGCCATCTCAGAAGTACTGATCTTTCACACTTTGTAAGCCATACTTGTGTCAGTTATTAGTTAACGGCTTCTAAAGACTGAAAATCAAAATTGATATTTGTTTTCGTTTGCCTGAGGGCCCCGCCTCCGAGGTCTTGTGGGCAGAGCGTCTGCTTGGAGAGGTGAAGGTCGATAGTTCGATCGATCACGACCGCATAATACCCAAAGACGTTAAAAGATGGTACTTATTGTTTCTTTGCCTGGCGCTCGGCATCGACGGGATACAACTGGGACTACGTGGTCGATGGGCGGCTCGGAGTCATCATGAGGTGTCTGAGTGGGGTATCTATGTTAAACTGGGGCATGCTATCCCAGAGGGCTATGTCATGAGTGAGTGAGTTGGGTTTAACGCCGCTTTTAACAGTATTCCAGTTATATCACGGCGTGTCAGCTTAACATGGGAGGAAAGCCCGAAGTGATGCAGGTCTCAGGCGTTTACCACTTCGGCGAAGTATGGTGCTGACAAACCTAGAAATATAATCGGGGCGAACCGGGATTTGAACCCACAATCATAGGTTTCCGGCGTGCCCAAGGGACGCAACTCTGCACAACGAATCGCGGCGCCTTAGACGATTGGGCCACCCGTGACCCCGAGGGCTATATCACTACAAGACTGGACCAGAACGAGCTGCTACATACATATACTCACACAAAGGTCGTACGCATCTCTATAAAAAGTCCAATAATCTTGAACGCGACGTACGTTAAACCACATTCCATCTCATCACACAGAGAGCTCCAATTTTTGAATATAAAAATATAAAGATTGGTACAATAATCAAACATGACGTGTAACTGTTAATATTTTTTAGTGATAGTTACCCAATATATTTTATTTATAGCTTCTTGCTACCATGACAGACAAAGAATTTCATTATTAACGTTATTCCAAACCAACGTTGTTTGACTAACATATATTATGATGTATATCATTATTGTGGTAAATGGTTTATAACTAAATTACAAGCCACCCTTGAACCAGATTCATAGCACTTATTGTGGAATCCGCTTTACTGTTGTATGTTCGAATTATTGTGATCAGAAATACGTTTGTTGCAGAACGCTCTCTGTCAAGTTAACCTGTATCATTTTGGCTCTCTTCAAACGATGCTCATCTTAGAACTAGCTTTCTATGTTAAACAAGTTATTTCTTTCAGAAACGAAATTTAAGAAATAAAGATTTATGCGAATATGTAACTCTCTGTATTTATAGGCAAATCCTATGTGTTGGACTTTAAATGCTGAAAATATATTTGGCTTCGAACATTTTCACAAATATATAAAAACAATAATGAGCTTTTTTATGTCATATATCTGGAATATTGTTGAGCGCGACGTTAAACAAACAAACAAACGAACAAACAAAACTGATACAGATAACACAGGCGATATAACATGCATCATGTCAACACGTGCGTTCGATGAATAAATCTGAGTGATCTGTCAACCGAGGTTACCACATTTCTGGACCCCAGGGTTGACTAGATTCAACCAGTGTTTATTAGGGATAGCTTCGGGCAGTACCCGAAATAAAACGCATAAAAGTCAACCTTGGATATAATACAAATGTCCGCCTGGATGTGTGAAACACCATACAGCCATGTGTATTGCTAAGACGTAACGGATGCTATATTTGGGATAACACTTTCATGTTATCCCAAATATAGCATCTGTTACATTTGACCACTTTCTAAAAGGCATTGTGTGTTCATATTGCTAAGACGTTCTAACTCGGAGGGGTTAACAAGTGTTTCATCGCTTGACAAAGCTACCTTATCAGAATACACATATACGGTCATTACCTGGTTAATAATATTCACTAAAATGTCTTTTTCATGATTTAATTAACAAAGACACAAATGAGTGTTTACTGTGACGTCACATGGAGGCTGCTAACCAGTGACGCATGGCTGGGGTTCATGAGGTTAGGTCAACTGAGGTTACTACACCTCCTATAAGTCATCGTGACCGCCTCCGTGGTCTAGTGGTAGACCGTCCGCCCGGAGAGCGGAAGGTCTGGGGTTCGATCACCGGCCGCGTCATACCAAAAGGCGTTAAAAGATGGTACTTGTTGTTACCCTGTCTGGCGCTTGGCATTAAGGGGCTAAAATATGAGGACTGGTCGGCTCGGAGTCAGTATACTGTGTCTGAGTGGGGTATTCCTGTTAATCTGCGGCATGGTATCTCAGTGAGCTAGCACTATAAATCGGCATCAGTCCAGACTAGTACAAGCAGCCACAAACACACACACACACACACACACACACACACACACACACACACATACACGTGCATGCACGTCGCTATGTAAGTGCAATAATCTTGGACGCGACCCCATTTCACCTCACCTCACCTCACCTCCTATATGTCGTCACACTGTGCACATTTCTCACAAAATAGCAAAATTAGGACCCAGAATGTAATTCTTGATTTATTCGATAAACGCAGCATCTGATTCTATGACTTAATATAGGTCAGTCATTCTTCTCCTGATATTTCCTGCCTTAATTGTTGGTACGATCCACATAGTTTCTTAATTAGTTTCCTGAATATTTTACACTCTTTGTCTTGTGCTGCTTTAGAAATATCCTCCATTATCTTATTCTCAAAATCCTTTTTCTTCTGTTTGCACAAACTTCTAAAATGATTCTTCAAAGATATATATTCTGTAAAATATTCAGTATTAATTGTCTTTCTGAAAAGGTTTAACGTTTTATATTTGTTATTTTTAGCACTATGGCAGCTGTTGTCAAGTCATTGTGGTTGCTGGTTAATTATCTTGGTTCTTTAGAATGAATGAATGTAGTAGAATGAAGACCTGTCGTGACAAGTGATTCACTAACAGCTAATTGTAATATTTCAACACTGTTATCAATATCATGATCAACTGCCTTTGTGAATGTCTCCGTATTAAAAGATTGTTCATTGCTTGTCCTAGATGTAAGTGTTTACTCTTCCCAAGATAACTGACACACTCTCAATTGAGGGGTGGTCGGGGAGCCTAGTGGTGAAAGCGTTCGCTCGTCACGCCGAAGACCAGGGTTCGATTCCCGACATGGGTACAATGTGTGAAGCCCATTTCTGGTGTCCCCTGCCGTGATTTTGCTGGAATATTGCTAAAAGCGGCGTAAAACCATACTCACTCACTCTCAATTTATAGGAGGTCGCGAGAGGTGAACTTTCTTTCCGAGGTTTCTTCGGAGCAGCATGAGATTTCTGAATCTCGAAAAGAACTTATGCGGTCAGTTCCAAATGGAAATGATAAAGGACACGCTATTATATTTATATGAATATACCTGTCCCATCCTTGCTTTTACACCCAAAATGGAGTACAACAGAAGAAATATTTGTGTTCCGTGTCGGTTTTCGTTTGAAATAGTCAAAGTGAGGGATGGAAATATAAACGAAAAAAAATCTTACCAGATTCACAAGAAATCCCCACCAAAAGCAGAGTCGATCGCCCAGTTCCGACCATATGAGCATGTGTGTATGTATCACTATCAATCAGTGATGACACAAGGTATTCGCGAAAAGGTAAGCGTATCCTGTCCCGATCTTTGAATGAAGATTTATTATGTATTAGGAGTTCGTTTTATAATAACAACAAAGCAATACCATTCTTCCTTGTGTGGAAATGCTGTAAGATGGATGTGTTATTGAAATATCAAGATAACAAGTGTTTTAAGCAACATAATTGTTGTCGCAATACCATCATGGTATATATAGCCATCATTTTAAATCTAAATCTCCAATCATAGATTGTCTGAGGTACGGGGGCACGGATGGCACAGTCGTCTAAGGCGCCGCGATTCGCTGTGCAGAGTTGCGTCCCTGAGGCACTCCAGAAACCTGTGATTGTGGGTTCGAATCCCGGTTCGCCCCGATTATGTTTCTAGGTTTGTCAGCACCATACCCGTGCTCGTGGGTTTCACCGAAGTGGTAAACGTCTGAGACCTGCATCACTTCGG